TTTCTAGTCTCTATGTGGTTCCATTAATCTATTTGTCTATACTTGGATCTATACCAGGATTCTAATTAGTGAAGTTTTACACTAAATTTTCGTATCTGCAACAGTAAGTTTCTCACTAGTTTTTTTAAAAAAAAATTATTCTGAGTATTCTTGGTTTTGCACTTCCGTATAAATTTTAGAATCGATGTCAATTTCCACAGAAGACCCAGCTAAAAGCTTGAAGCACATCTCATTCTCCATTTCTGTTCCTGGGCATTGTCCCTTCCTCTACTCTATCAGCATGTGCACATATTCTAAGAGAATAAGTCGCTTAATGCTAGGGCCACCCCACATATTTCTCTTTTCTGTTACACTATAGTTCAGTAATGGCTTACTGCTGTATTAACTCTCTAATGTTTCAAAGAGGTATCTTTTATACTTCTGTCCAACTTTTCTGTTGCCAGAGAGCTTTATCTAAATCCCTAGTCTATTATTTTCAGATATTCATACTATAAAAGTACATTTTGCTTTTCTTCTCACTCCTCTGTCTGCTCCGCTCCTCCAATCCTTTCTCTTTTTTTGTTCTTTCTCAATAAGGTAATGTGGGAAGATGTAGGATTCCAGTATAAAAATTAAAAAGACCAAATGTTTCTAGGGAAAAAAATCTTAAGTATGAAAACTGAACTAGTATATTAGCTTAAAAGAAGATTATTCATAGCAGAGAAAACAATCACTGAAGAAGATGAAAAAGAATCTCTAGAAGAAGGAGAAAGGATAAGGGAACAGAGAGGTGGGGGGAGAGGAAGAAAGAGAACAGAATCCAAGAATGTAAGTGATGTGAAGATGAGAAGAAAGCAACAACCCGATGGAAACAAACATTTAGCTGAACTTTGACTTTGCCTTTCTAAGGAATTACACTATTTGAAATCTCCCTTGAATCTATCCTGTTTCAGTTAATACATTTGTATATACTTGCATACCACCCAATGTATTTACTTAGAGGATTTTGTTAGATAAATCTAGCTTCTGTATGTAAGGGAAAACATAGATCTTTTTTCTCTCAGGGCCTGACATATCTTAACATATCTTAAGATACTTAAATTTGACAAAATTTTCCTTCATTTACTACAGAAGAAAATAGAAGAAAGTACCACTTACAGAGTGGTAATCCATTGAAAGTTGGTCATCCATTGAAAAGTAAAACACCCGGAAGTGGAAATGGAGTAGATGAATAAAGAGGATAAGAGGGGAAAAATACAGACAAGAAATTCAATGTATATCCAACAAAACTAAGAAGAGTGAGGGAAGGGGTGCATAGGAGAGGGATGGGTCAGAATGTTGAAAGGGGTGACACTGATCAAGATATATTATATTCATAAACTACTTTGTTACATGGAAGCTCCTTTGTACAACTACCTGAAGATAATAAAAAGGATATCAATTAAAAATAAGAATGGAATTAAATAAAAAGATAGAGCATAGTAAACATGATTAATCTGTTCCAAAATAAATATTTTTATATACGCAGTAAAAATTTTAAAAAAAACACGAATATTTAGTGATAAGAGCTTCAGACATCCAAAATGTGACAAGATATATCAAACAGACTCTCAGTAAACTCCAAGCAATATATAAATACAAAAAGGTTTGTCCTCCCCCTCCCTTTCACTTTTCTTTCAAGTGGTTCCATCCAGTTTTGTCATAAAATGGCTGAACTAAACTTCTTTTTCTCTCTCCCTGAAGTTTTACCTTTTTTCACCCCTGAAGAAATCATGGATAACTATGGATACTTGCTATTTGGTCAGGACATGGTAAATCCATTTTATGTTTGTATACACAAATAAATGAACATACTGAGAACATAAAGAACAGCTTTAAAAGGAAAAAAATTCCTATTGCCCTTGTTGTATAACAGTATAGGAAGCTTTAAGTTTTCACTCTCAAACTATAGCTGCATTTTTCTGATTTGGCATCTAACAGTGACAGATGGTAATGTTAAAAATAAATAGAACATTCAAATTGTTTATACTGTAGGCAAAGACAGTTTTAAAGTGTGAAACAAGCCCAAGGCTGATTGAATTTACATCATGCTTTTCAAAATGTATTAAGAATATATACTTCCCCATGACAACCATGCCATTCAAACACATAAATAACAAGATTCCTTCTCCTTCCTCCCTTCCTTCCTTCCTTTCTTCCTTCCTTCCCTCCTACCCTCCCTCCTATATTCTCTTTCTCCCTCCCTTCCAAACTGAGGTCTGAACTCATCCTCATGACAGCTAGGCAGGCACTCTACCACTTATGACATATCTTCAGCTCTCTTTTTGCTTTTACTTATTTATTACTTTTTATAAGATTTTAAGTTATTTGCCTAAGGCAAACCCTGGGTAGTGATCTTCCTACTTATGCCTATAGAGTAGCTTGAATGACAGGCATGAACCATCACATCTAACTTAATTGTTGAAAAGAGGGTTTCACTAGTTTTTGTTTTGCCCTGGCTGGCCTTGAGCCACAACTATCCAGATCTCTGCCTCCCAAGTCCCTATGACTAAAGATGGGCCTAATCACTCACAGATCCACATGAATTATTTTGGTTTGCTACAAGGGTATCAAGACAATTAGTAGGGAAGAAATAGCTTTTTAACAAGTAGAGCTGGGACAATCAGCTATCCAAATGAACTTCAACTCCTGCACAACACAGATTAAAAATTAACTAAAAAGTAACTAAAAATGGATCACAGGCTAACAAGTAAAAATCTAAAACTATAAATGACACAGAAGAAAACAGAAATAAATCTTCACAACCTTGGCTTAGTTAGTCTTAAGAAAGGCACCAAAAATGTAAGTGATAAAAGAAAAACTTAATTAACATAAACATTTTTAGGTTTCAGTGGATACCACCAAGAAAGTGAATAACATTCCCCCCCAAAAAGAATGAGATTAAATACCTGTAAATCACTATTATTGAATAAATGAATTGAATCTAGAATACATAAGAAATATAACCTAATTAAACAATACGCAAGGAATCTGAATGGACAAAACGTATAAAAGGCCAATGAGCACAAATAAAGATGTTTCATAGACATTACTAATTACAAGCAAATGCAAATCAGAAGAATCCTGATGAGGTACTATCCATACCTTTAAAGTCGGCAGTAATTCATCCAAAGAAAACAAATAAGTGTTGATAATATGGAGCAACTAGATTTTTCATCTACTGCTAGTAAAGCTGTGACTCAGTAATTCTACTCGGACATGCACTCAAGAGATATGAACACACAAAAACTTGTACATAAGTGTTTGCGGTACATGAATAAATAAAATGAATAAATAAAATATGTTATGCAAATAAAACAGAATATTATTCAGCATTAAGAAAGGAACGAAGTACTGATACACATTGCAACAGGGATGAACCTCAAAAACATGTTAAAGTTAAAAAAAAAAACAAAAAGATAAAACAGTTACAAAAGTCAATACTTAAAGTTAATAAGGTTAACCATAATGCTTGTTTCCCCTTATATGAAATGTCCAGAACAGGAAACAATAAGGACAGATAGTAACTTAGTTATTTAGGGTCAGGAAGTGGTAGGGGGAAAGTATCAAGTATTTTCTAAAGGATACAAGATTGCTTTTTGAAGTAATAAAAATTTTCTGAAATTGTGATAGTATAGTTGTGCAACAGAATAGACTAAAAATACTGAATTATACACTTTAATAGCTTGTATTATAGTTCAACCAACCTGTTTTGGTTTAATAACTATAGACCTATTATGTAAAATAAAGAAATCTAGGGTATCATTACTACTAACATTTGCCAAGTAAGTACATATATAGACAGACTTATGATTAAGTTCACCCAAAGCAGGATAAAATTGCCTTGAAATACCGAATTCCTGGCTCAAGATACAGATAACGATGTTTTGAAGGAGTTTCTTTACTAAGCAAGAAAGTTTTCCCAATGTAAATGAATTCTTTAGTTCTTCTGTAAAGATCTAAGCTTTGAATGGAGCTATTACACAGACTGATATAAGTTTTGGATGCAGAAGTGAGAAAATACCAAATAAGGAAAAAAAAAAATTTTTTCCCCTGGTTCTTATATACAGGTTTTGAAGATGGCTTTAGGGAAAGCAGTTCAATTAAACTCTGAGGCCCAAAAACGTTTCCTTCTCCTTTAATTGCAGTATAAGAAAGGGGCAGAAGGAATGTACTATAAAACTAACAAAATAAACTTGGTTACTTCTTCCCTCTAAAATTCTTACATATTTATTATTTTCTTTTTAAAAATGTACATCAGGGGCTGGGAATGTGGCTTAGTTATAGAGTGCTTGCCTCGATTCCTTGGTTTGATTCCTCAGTACCATATATACAGAAAAAGCTGGAAGTGGCACTGTGGCCAAGTACTAGCCTTGAGCAAAAGAAGCTCAGGGACAGTGCAGGCCCTGAGTTCAAGTCCCAGGACTGGCAAAAAAAAAATAAGTACATCAGGTCACATATTTCCATACTAGGTATTTTGTAGTCTTGCCCAGATTAAACCACCCAAACACAAAAAAATCTAATTGTCTTAATTTTTTTGTCTGTGGCTTTATTTGTAAACTATGCTACATACTAATGTAGCACCATAAAAGTATATAAGTGACAAATGCTTTTTAGTTTTTAAACTCAATTTTATTTTTAACATTTGTAGTCACTGATAAAATATACATCCTTTCAGCTGCTACATTCTAATTAATCATGTAATACCCAGGTTAGTTCTACAAGCCCATTTTTAGTCACTTTATTTACTAGTAAGTTATGTAGTCTAATTGTATAACTGTAAAAGCAAGTAATAACAGAGCTTAACATAGCATATAATTCTTTAAAACTGTCTAAAAGTTTGAATGCATTTCTCAGGAAAGAAATCAAACCACTGAAAATGAAGAATGCAGCAAGTGCAAAGACCATCAGAACAAGCCACATACTTGACTAGAAGACATCTGTGTTTGTGAGCAATTGCTCCAAGGGAAAAATTCACTCACCTGGTTTTGGCACTGAGTTGGTCACTGACTGGGGAACTTTCTGGTTAATTAACTCCACACAATGACCAGGGAAGAGTCCCACCTAAAGAAAAGCAACACAGAAAGGATTCCAGAACAGCAAACGGACTAGAGGATGAACACTGCCAAGTCAGTTCCAGTAATGTACTCCCCAGGCCCTCCCAAATGATTCTGTTATTCCAAGACTCTGAAGAGCAGACGCCAATTACACAAACAAATAATAAAACAATCTGTTGCTATGAGTATATAGAGCTATGTGGGGTTCTCTGTCCAAATATCTATGTCTGCTTTTTTCAGTTTTTGTTTTTCACTTCACAAACTTCTTTTAAATCAACTAAGGTATTTAGACATCACAGGCTAGGCATGCAGCAGGTAAAATTTTTTCCTCTTTAATAATTCTCTCTGCCCCACATTTTAATCTAGTTGTATTGATACTTGTTGCTAATGTAATTACTGTCTTCCTTAAAGATTTTTTAATCCTAAATCAAAACTTAAATTATTGTATGAATTTTCTCTTCACTATCCTGCAGGCTTCACGGAATAAAATGATACAATTAAAGTAAATTTCTGAAACAATAATTCATCTAAAATCCTGGTATTCACTGCTGCTAAAGAGCCAGCAGCGCATGGTAAGAGGGAAAGTAACAGAGAAGAAATAGGTCACTTTCCCCAGGCTGGAAATAGGCAGGGCTAGCTTTGGAGAACACAACAACACATTCATCTTACAGCAGAACTACATAGACAGCTATAGCTAGAATCCAAACAGGCTGTATAGAAAAACACTGAGGTCAAGATAATCCAGAGATACTGTGTGGCTAATAGGATAAATGCAGAGATAAACATCCTAGGAAAAGAGTAGAAAGGAAACCTTTAACAATATTTATAGATGTTTTCGTAGATGTGGATATAAATGGGCTGCCATGCAGCAGATGTTAAAGCTAAAACATGAAAACTACATCACACTGAATCTCCTCTGTTGACAGACTCTGGGGAAGGATGGAACACACTTCCAAGAGTGTGACTCATCATGCACTTCTGAGCTACATAATTTCCATCTGTGTGGAATTATTTTCACATATCTATTTGCTGCATTCTTATATCAATTTCTGGATCAATACTTTGTGGTACTTAATAAAATTATGAAGATATAACCAGTTATCATGAGCAGAAAGTGAGTTATTACCACATTACCAGTTTTGCTTAAAAGATCTGGATTTGGCATTTTTAAACAATGCTCTCCAAAATGATGCTTTGTATAACTGCTTTGTTAGTGAAATTGTATAATGTATTCTACTCAAGTTTCTATTTCATTCAACAAGTAGAATTCTCCAAAGATTGGTTAAAACTAGGTAAAAATAACCTTGAAAAACCCTTCTATTTTTTTTTTAATGTGTTCTATGTCCTCTCTCATGGAATAAGAGGCATAAGTTGTTCTTAAATCTACCAGTTACTAAACTGGGTTTGCAACTCAGCTTCTCTATCTAAACAGGATAATAATAGGTAAAAATATGTAAACATTTAACATATTACAGGAAGGTAGGATGCATTTGTCAAATATTACTTGTTATTATCCTACTATATTGGGTACTGAAGACCTAGGGTTCCTCCATTAAACGGATAGGATGCATCCTACTGTATTTTGTATGTGTGTGTTTAAGCCTCCTTATTCTCAAACATACCTGTTAGAAAATCCTGATTCATTTCAATTTATAAATATCTGAAGTTTGCCATAGAGAAAAGATTCAAAAGTTATTAGCTCACTCATTTCCTAGGCTCCATGATCTGAAGTTAATCAGTTTCCTAATTTGTAACATTAGGAATACTATATGCACGGATAAATATTGTACATTATGTACATTATTATAACAGTATAGGTGAAAGCATCTACTTATCCTAGTTCTTTAGCTCAGCTATGTTTCATCAAATAAAAGCCAGTTTTCTATTGAGCACCCATGGCTCACACCTGTAATCCTCGCTACTCAAGAGGCTGAGATCTGAGGATTGCAATTTGAAGCCAACTGAAGCAGCAAAGTCATGAAACTCCCATCTTCAACTATCAGAAAAACTGGAGTGGAGCTCAAGTGGTAGAGTGCTGTCCTTGAACAAAAGAAGCTCAGAGACAGTGCACAGGACTTAAAGAAAACAAAAGAAGAAAAATCCCAAACAAACAAAAAAACCCACTCAGTTTTCTATTGCTGGTTTTTTGTGTTTTTTTTTTTTTGTCGGTTTTGGGGCTTGAACTCTGGGCTTGGGCGCTGTCCCTCAGCTCTTCAGCTCAAGGCGAGTGCTCTACCACTTGAGCCACAGCACCACTTCCGGTTTTCTAGTGGTTTATTGAAGATAAGAGTCTCACGGACTTTCCTGCCCGGGCTGGCTTTGAACCATGATCCTAAGAGCTCAGCCTCCTGAGTAGCTAGGATTACAGGCGTGAGCCACCGGGTGCCTGTTTTGTTTTTGTTTTGTTTTGTTTTAAGGAATGAATGAAGCTTACTGAACTGCTTCAGGGAGCTGTATAATATGTATTAGTTACATGTTTCATGCTTCTGTCTTAATGCAGTGGGCTCAGGTATATGGGCAAGTGTTACTTACATTATACAGGGGCACATCTAACGCTTAATTCCAATCCCTACTCTCAACATCCTTCCTTTTTGCACTGTAACATTACTACATGTTATCCATCTAGCTTTCCAGACACAGCATTCAGATGAAGCTAAGACATACATGAACACCACTGGGCTACTGTAGTTTCTCTCTTTGCTGTGAATGGAGGCATCACAGCTGGATCTGGAGTAGCCATCACTTGGCCACAATAAAAATCCAAGACAGTTTGAGAGCCTTTTGCCTACCACTGTGGAGCTGCTGGCTCACCTGCAGCAAGCATCTATATTTTCTTTTTACCTTTCTATTTCTTGAAGCCAAAGGCCTTTTAATAGTGAAGCAGTCCTTTATTTAAAGTAGTCAGTTTCATAACTCTGTTAAAGGATAACAGTTCTATTTTCCTATACAAATTTTTCATCATAACATAAAGTCACACTCTGTTAAAATATACTACACATAAGAACATATCCTGAGCATGCAACTCCTAAACATTTATACTTTTCTGACAAATACATAACATAGTATTTCACCACTGTAAGCAATTCTGATAAATCCAAACTGTCAAATGGTAAAAGTGACTGGAGTTCTGGCAGTATGATGTACTAAATGTGTTGTCTTGTTTTCCAGGTTATTCTTTCTGCAGCAGTGCTGTAAAGGGAGAAGGAAATTAGGTCAGGAGTCAAAAAATGAGACTCCTCTCTAGGAAGAATATGCAAGGGAAAGAAAAACCACCCTTTGGGCACATGATGACAAAGAAATGGGTAATAAAGACATGGTAAGAGAAGGAAGGGAACAATTTAGCGTAAGGCTGGTATAGATAGGTTAGGGAGGGGCTTCCAGTATGGTGCAAAGATCATTTTGGTAGTTTCTCCTCAGCTGTTTCAACTACAGTGAGAAGCTAGAGGGCTATTATTTCCTGTGCTGTGGTGTTAAATGTGTAATGACTGGCTCCCCATAGGGTAAATGGCCTTGATTTACAGAGTTCGCCATTAAAAACACCCATGCCATAGCTGGTTTCCAACTATCATCAGGACACAACTGAGCAGAAAATAGAAAAGAGATGCACAGTAGTACTTGTTTGTGTAGTACCTTTATCATACAAATCCATAAGATGAACAGCAAAAGCAGATAACTCTAAAATACTACCATTTTACCACTGTTAATGGTAAACTTACACACTCTGATATTTAATAATAGCTATGTTAAACAACTGTCCTATAAAAAATTCACCAAGATTTTATAATTGACACCAATTCACTACTCATCTAAAGCCAAGCAGGTGGTTCTATGCCTATTTACCACTAGTAGCTCCTAGAATTACTCTCCAACACTTTGCAAGTTCATAGCTTGCCCTCGGACTTTTAAGGAATGAAAGGGGTTACAACAGTGAATGAGTTGAAAACAAATTTGGTGTAACTTGGAGAGAATGTTAGATAGGAAACAACTGTAGTACAACAAGCCTTGACCTTTGGCAACAGAAGGGATGGGAAAAATCCTTGCTCAACAGTGGGACCTGATTCTAACCATAGTCTCTCAGAGGCAACCAACCAAACCCTAAAAGGCATTTCAACATAACAACATTCTTATCACTGACTTTTTAAAAAATCCTGCTTAATGTGTTTTTTTAATATAATTTATGTCTAGTGAAACTTCAGGATTATTGCACAGCAAAACCTTTTTTTAAGCTTAGTAAAGTACGTATCACATACTTATCCAATTGGGACTCTGGCTGCACAGTCAAACCCCCAATAGTTCATTTTCTGACTACAAGTTCCTGTCCTCCTGGTCCAGTGTTTACAGTTCATGAAAGGAGTACTAAAATCTGGAGATAACTCATTCCTTCATTCCTAGATCCCCCCCCAGAATACTATTTACCTTCCAACTTTTTTTTTCTTGACAAGTATGGATACTATGGTTGACCATTTGAATTTTTAAATCATACTTCTGGTTTCTTTGAAATATTAATCTTGTGTCAAACCAAGATAGAAAATCAATCCCCCAAAATAGAACCAGACTTCCTTACCTTCATGTCATATGTTTCTAAAGAAAAAAATCATGCCAAGCATAAGTGGCTCATGCCTGTAATCCTATCTTCTCAGGAGGCTAAGATTTGAGGATCACAGTTCAAAGCCAGACCAGATAAAAAAGTCCCCGTGAGACTCTTCTCTCCAATTAACCACTCAAAAAAGAGAAGTGGCACTGTGGCTCAAGTGGTAGAACACTAGCTTTGGGCACAAAGAGGCTCAGGAACAGCACCCAGGCCCTGAGTTCAAACCTACATCCAACCAAAAAAAAATCACATCAGTGAAGAAATTCAAACTAATATAAATTCATAGACTTTTGTCCAGAAATGGCTATTATTTTTTCCCCAGTACCAAAACATTCTTGAGGATCTATTCTTTAGGCCGTGTGGTATGACCCTTTTTCAGCACCACCTCAGCAGACCTAGAGGCATATCAGTAAACC